TAGCTTGTTAGCTGTTCCATTGTTAATTAATGCGTTCAATATGCTGATTGATTGTTAGATTTGATGTACCAACATGCAGCTGAGATTTAATTATCCTGTTTGATATTTTTTTCTTCGGCTTAGTTTTCTGCTTTTGGGTGTTGACAGCTTTCTTTTTGTGGACGGTCTCCTTTTCCCCTTCCAAGAATTTTGTTCTTGAGGGGGGTGTCTATTGGATAATTTGTTTATATTATGTTCAGAATCCTTAACATTGAAATGATTCCATTTTATCACAAAGCTATAGGTTTGATTTGTACGTTTATTAAGCTTATTGTTATCGAGGAGATCCGAATGTGATGTTTAGTCAAATAGGAATGGGGATTTTACCTTTTTAGTTTGCAGGACATTGTAGGTTTCATATTTTATGGATAAAAAGTTGAAGTAGGTTGAGAAGGATGAGTTTGCATGTTGGAGAGATTGTGTGTTGCAAGGTTTCTATAAGTATGTGATTAGTGGGTTAGGAATGTGGCATTTGGTTTTACGATTGCTCGTAAGGTGAGCTGTAAGTATAACTGTTGGGCATTGAAATGATGGTTGAATCTGAGAATCATGAGGATTGAGGATGGTTTAGAAATTGGATGCCTGTGATTCAATTTGTTTAATACGTCCACTTTAAGGTTAAGATGTACCTTTTGGCTTGTACATAATAATTCAAAAGGACAAATTATTTTTTTAATGGATTATTTGAAGGAAAAGAGAGATTTGGAAGTCCTAATAACCAGTTTCCAGTGAGTAGCAAACTGATTTTTAATGGCTGTGATAAGAAACTCGAAAGCCACTCTCTCGATTTCTTTTGTTTTTCATCTTTTTTGTTCCATTTATAGTTTTCGTGCTTCCAGTAAACCTGGCTTTCTTCATAATGCATTGTGGTTATGGGAGTTTTCTTGATGTATATGTCTTATATTTACGAAACATCTGATATATACTTTCTTTCTCAAAGAATCCATAATCGACATTATTGTGTGCCACCCATAATTACTTTAACCTGAGTGTGCTGGTCCACAAGGTCTAAGTTATGTCCTTTCCACTCGATGGGTTCATCTTTTAAATACTATAACTAGATTGTTGTTGCAATGTAATGATTATGACCAGAAAATGTTGATTAGTTCACCTTCGTTGTTGAAGGATATTTTAGATTTGCTAGAAATGCCCTACTTTTATTTCATCATTTGTGACCCTCTTTAAGGAGACCTGATTTACTGCAACTTGGTCATACCTTCAGCTTCTTTGTTGCTTGTAATTCGTGGACTCTGTTCATCTGCTGAATTAATATCTCCAATGTTGAGTTTATCCATGCTCAAAAGTTTTGGGTGCATTCCATTGGCATAGTGTTCTTTTCCAGTTCGAATTCCACGTGTTCATACTAATAACGAATTGCATACTACAAAACCAAGTTATTTGCTAATGTTCTGTTTATACGTGATTGGCAGAGTCTTTATCCATTGACTGCTAACAGTGCTCCGTCTTTTTCTTTTCAGAACCCTGGTCTCGAAAGTTGAAGCCATGTCTCCAGCATCCAGATCTAAATCTAAAGATAAAAAGGCCACCAAGGAAACTGCAAAAGGTTCCTCGAAGCCTTTAGGTCCTGCTAACACCAGTGGGTACAATCCTCTATCCGGAACATTCCACACATTCGACACAACACCTGTGCCTTCAGTTAGCCCACTCCACATCAACGGCCGTTTCCGTACCATTGATGATTCGGACGACCAGAATGGGAACTCGTCAGGGACCGGCGCCGAGTACGATTCTGTTTCCAACAATGGAAGCTGGTCGGGCGAGTCGGAAGACCACAAGGAAAAAGCCTCTCAGGCCCAAAATTCACGCCAGGAATCTATACCCGGGGCCGACAATGACAAAAGAGAAAAGGTACGCCTGAAGAATGAGCGGAAACACCAGCGGCAGAAGGAGAGGCGGGCACAGGAGCTGCATGAGCGGTGCAGTGGCTATCTCATGTCGAGGAAGCTGGAAGCCCTTGCTCAACAGCTTGTCTCCATGGGCTTCTCACATGAACGGGCTACAATGGCTCTCATTCAGAACGAGGGTAGGGTAGAGGAGTCGGTAGCGTGGCTTTTTGAAGTAGCCGAAGACGAGAAACAGTTGGGAAGTGACCTCGGTGGCAGTGGCGGGGGGAATTTGAAGATCGACATATCGGAAGAGCTCGCGTGGATTACGGACATGGAGATTAGGTACAAGGCCTCAAAGCAGGAGGTCGAGAGGGCTGTGGTTTCCTGCGAGGGTGACCTACACAAGGCCGAGGAGATTCTAAAGGTTCAGAAGCAGGAGAGTCCTCCAGCTGCCCCACACAAGGCGGATGAAACTGGGGATCCTTCTACTGCTGCCACTGGAGGCAGGCTGCAGGTGACGACTATGGGTCAGAATGTGATGAGGGGGCCGCAGGTGAAAG